TTCTATTGACATGCTCCCTTGATCTTGAGTCAGTTGAGCCATTTGGTTAGAGACAGCAGTTTAAACAAGTGTTTGTAAGGTCTCCATCATTAAGGACACTATAGTAGGCTCTGGTTGTCCAGAAGTTTGACCCACTGGTGGATTCTCCGTCTGACCAGGAGGTGGAACCACTGATGGATTCTCCATCTGACCTGAAGTTTGGTTATTCATCGTCTGCTCTATTGTCTCAGTGTCAACATCCCTATCTAGCCCACCCCGTCTCACAAATCTTCTTCTACGTGGAGGCATATTCTAATAACTACAACAGTGTTCAACTTAGTTTAACATCACACCATCAAACATCAAACATACTGCATGTTCATAACAATACAACATACTATTGTATACTGTTTATGCCTATACACATTTTTTTATATAAAACAAAACTTGCTAAAACAGAAGACATATCTGGCGGTGACAAGATATTTGTGTGGCTGGCCATGGTGACATACTAATGCTTACGATGTAAGCAAGTCTACAAGACCATTAACTTTGACTCTGATACCAATTGTAACGACCTGACTTTTTGGGACTTAAACTTCTAAGGGACGTTACTACATGATAACAAATAAAACAAAATACAATCTCATAACATAACTTTCTAAAATAAAATTTGAAAAAAAAAATCTTTATTTGGGATCCCATAAATAGTTTACATAAAACATAATATTAAGATAAATGACTCCTAATGTAAATAAAAAAAAAAACATAAAACTAAAGCGGAAGCGAAAACCCATGGCATAGTTTGCAGACATCCTCGTCACACATCTTGTACGTCTTTATTATTCCCTAGAAAAAATAAGGGAAAAGGGGTGAGTATTAAAAATACATAGTAAGTAACCCAGTTAACGGGGTCAGACATGCATACACATACAACATGAACATGTGAGACCTAAATATTTATTCGGTCAAATTCTTTTCGTTTTCTTTTTCCTTTCCTTTCCTTTTGGTCAAAGTGACCAACTAACACAACCCCACAGAGACGATACCAACTCCAATATGGTATATAGGTGGGTCAATTTCAGTCTAGTATATGCATTACAGTAGGGTAGTTGCTACAACTTTTATACATGAAAAAAAACAGTTTCACATTCAAGAGCATGCATGAGGTCCCATAATTAAACTTTCTATAATGCAACACAACAATTCACATAATAGCCAATTCATTAACAACATCCATCACATAGCCAAAAAAAAACCATATAAAATTTCCAACCTAGCCCTAAGCCCATTCCGAAAACAGAGTCACTTAGCTCAATAACAAAATCAAAAATAATTATTTGGCTCAATATATCCAAGTTCTTCACTCAACCTAAAACAACTCCCAAAAAAACAAGCAAAACAAAACAAATGAATTATCTTAACATTGAACCTTAATCAAAAGATAATAGTCTGAAGAGAAAATCAAACTATAAACTTCTTGTAGTTTGATGAGGAACAATTTACTTACTAGCTTCATGCATGAGAATACATAAAAGAAAAAAGGGGAAAAATATATGGTTGGGAGAGAATACGAAATAAGAAAGAAGAAGAAGGGTTGCGGTGGCTAGGTGAACAATAACAACAAAACAACCGGCTTTCAATTATAAAAACCTAAATTTTGACCCAAGTCAAAATTGATTTTTTTTTTTTTAATCAACAATCCTAGGCTGCAGTGTATCCCTTCTCTTACTTATTTATTTATTTTTAATTCTATTATTTTGTTTGTCTTTTCTATTTACTTMATTTTATCTTTTTTTTATGTATTTTTTTTTCAAAATCCTTTTTCTTTTATAAACCATTTTGAATTTAGCAGTTTTATTTAAAAACAACTTATCTAATCTATCAATATTTAAATTTAAACTACTAAAATATGCACCAATTTCTCGAACAGAGACCCGAGAGCCCTGCTAACTCCTTCCAAAAGTCATCTCAACCCACCAGGGTGGCAGGGGCATAAACTCCTACAAGAATTTATTGCTTTCCCAACGAAATTTTTCTCAACATTAAAAAAGTCGTCGGGAGAAGTCGTTTTCTCCCAATGAAAATCAATTATAAGTTTTGCCGACGTTTCTACAAAAACGTTGGGAAAAAATCTATATTTGCTGACGTTTTCTACAGAATATCATAAAAAATTTGATTTCTTCCGACGTTTACAAAAAAACATTGGGAATATGGACAAATAAATTCAAACACATCAATGTTACGCACTAAATATTCCGACATTTTAATAAAAATGTGGAGCAAAGATCCCTTCTGTTGGGTATTTTGTCCTAAAACTCGTAGTTTGTAAACAGTGAACATTAATGTGAGGTTATTCAAACAAGTGTTGTTAAATGAAAGTGAATTTGTTTTTTAATAACTCTAAATCCAATAAACTACGAACCCTTGGCCATTTTAATGAGTACTTGGACTTTATATGTAGAGACATAAACTGGATCAAATTCAAATAAATAGCCTAAACAGTTTATAGTACATGGATCAAGTTGGGTACTTTTTCCTGGAGACACTATTGAATACGACCCGCTTTATGATTGTTACAAATGTTGTAAGGTGTCATAAACGAAGTGATCCTGATTCGTTCATGTAGAAACATGTGAGCAGAGGTGTTCTACACAATGAGATTGTGTAAGACTGACCCTGAAATAATCATTGTTACGTATTAACACCGTTTACGAATAACACTGAATAATTTCGTTTATCGATAACCTAGATAACTTGATCTAAATCCTGAGCCGTCTATGAACTCTTATTCATTCAGGATTCTCCCTTGATCAGCATAGGTGAGAGTAAGCTCATCAAGCTACTTAATATGCCTCCCATTTCAGGGATAAGACTGGGTAGATAGCTGGGAACATAGAATTAGCAATACGGAATTCACTCTTACCCGATTTAGGGATAGTAGAGAGGTTGTTCCCTTAAGGGCTGATCCCGGGTCTTGAACAAGGGACCCCATCCTCTCACTGGCCCGAAAGGAATTGGATTTAGTGATTTGATCTTAAATCAATTGTTCATTATAGGGATAGTGGTACTAAGGAGAAAAGATGTAACTCAGGGGTAAAACGGTTTTTGACCTAGCTGAGGTTACGAACGACCTGTGAAGGATCAACTGACCGATGATGGTTATATTGAATGGACACAAATATATCTACAGCGAGGGGGTGCATCTACAGGCTATAGTGGACAGTCCTATTAGTTAACCAATGTTGATTAACTAAGTTAAAGAGTTTGACCGGTTAGTCTCGAATCGTTAGAGCTCATGATCTGTAGGTCCATCGGGTCTCCATACTAGCTCAATTAATTATTAAATTATATTTGAGAAATAATATAATAATTAATTGAGAATTAATTATTATGGAGAGTATGACTTATTTAAATTAGTTTTAAATAAGTTTAAAGCATGAAAAAAAGTTGTAATTTGATTAACGTGGTTAATCAAGCTTAAATGTCAAAGGCCAATTAATATGAGATATTAATTTAGCTTGGTTTTTGTTTTAATAGAAAATTGATATTTCAATTTTTGTTTTTTATAAAAATTAGTTTTATAAAAGTTTTATTTAAAAAATCAAGTTAGTAGATTTTCCCACCAGTGATTTTTGAAGTGTTTCTTCAAGGCAATGACACCTATCTTTTACATGATAGTGGAGTTTGAAGTGGAAGGCAATGCTTGCATACATTTGGTCTTTATACAGGTGATGAAGACCACTTGGAGAAGGCTAATGCTTTCTTGCATAAGTGCAGAATTTTTCCACTCAAATTTCTATTGTTATCTCCTAGCCATTAGTGCTTTTCCTTTGCTTTCACTCAAAATTCGGTCCCACAACCGTGTTCATCAACCCGAGAATAGCACGGATTTGCCGTTGGTGGTCCCATTGAGTTAGGAGAAGAAGTTATAGTGGAGGTCTTCAAAGGTATAAAGTTAATCACTTCCTCTTTACCTTTTTCATCATATCTTCCAGCATGCTTATTTTAGTTAAATTGTTTCGTTAAGTGTATTATGATCTTTAGATTCCGTTGTGCATGTCTAAAGTTCCATCACCTTCTTGCCACACTTTTACAAAAACGTTGAGAGAAGATCACGCATCCCACGTTTTATTAAAAACATTGAGAGAAGTAATCTTATCTCAACGTTTTTGTAAAAACGTTAGAATAACATACTGTATCCCAACGTTTTATTAAAAATGTTGTGATAAGTAATTTTATTCAAACGTTTTTTATAAAAACATTGGGGGTATTATTTTTAAAATAAATTTGAAATTTAAAGTATTTTAAAAATTAGTTTTGAAAATAATAATATTTTAAAAAACAAAACTTTGAAAATAGTGGTCACACCCATCAAATTTGTGAATACTTATTATAACAAGACTTGCTCATGGTTTGATTGGTAATCTATTAGCATTTTTTAATTACATTTTTTTATTGTTTAAGATTTATTTTTTTAATGTATCAATTTATTAATTAACTTTTTTTATAAATAGAAAATGTTAGGTTTACGACGGTGTGAAACTATAAAAAGATTGTTATATTATTAATAATTTGTTTAATAACTATTTTATTTTTTATTTACACTTTCTTGTAACTATTTCTTTCACATTTGTCTTGTTAACAAATTTTCAATAACATTTTTTTAAATCAAAGCTATATTAAAAAATGAAAAAATAATTTCCAAAAACTTATTTTTATTTTTAAAATTTGACTAAAAATTGTAATGTATTCAAGAAAAGTGCAAAAACATATTTTTTAGAAAACAAACCTAATTCTAGAAAAATATATAATAGAAAAATAAAATAATTTTCAAACTGGGTTAAAGTATTTGTTTTAGAATTCCAAAAATATAAAACTAACCCGGTGATCTCTCTTTTTCAATTTTTATATCTTCCACGCTTTATTATTTATTTAATAATAATAATAATAATAATAATAATAATAGTAATAAAATAATAATTATTATTACAATTGAAACACGGTGGTTTTCAGCAAAATCTTATTTTGTTTAAACAAATTTCAATCCGCAGCTCGCCTCCACCCTTCGATTTTTCCCTCCCTTCTTGGTGGTTTTCAGCACAATCTTATTTTGTTTAAACAAATTTCAATCCGCGCCTCCACCCCTCGATTTTTCCCTCTCTTCCTTCATCCCACTGTGGTCGCCGCCGTCGCCGCCGTCGCCGCATCACGCTGAAACCACTGCCGCCGCCGCATCGTTTCTGGAGGTCTCAGAGTCTCTGCAACGTTGCTCACCGTCCTCAGCCTCTTCTAACTTCTTTTCCTTCTTCCAAGGTATGCCAAACACTCTGCTCTTTCCAATCTCTTATAATTTTCTTATAATTCTTCAAAATGTTTGCTTCACTGGTTGCTCAATTTCCATGTTGAAGTTAGAAATTATGTGTAAATGTCGATTTTGGTGGTGAACGATGTGAGTTTTGGGATTCGGCATTGAAACTTTTCTTCTGTATTTCTTCTGCTTGGCTATTCTATTGTGCATTTATGAATTGGAAGTGGTGTTAACCCTAGCACATCCGTTTACCTTTTTTTTCTTTTTTTTTCTTTTTTTTTTGCATCGAAATGGTAAATTGTATTCTGATTTAAATCATAGATAGATGGTGCTTATTGAAATTTCTACTGGAAATTGGTGTTTGAATTCCCCAATTGAAATTCTCAAAATTGAAATTAGTGAATTGGAATTCATTATTGTACGAATTCCTGAATTTGGATTMCGTTAGTTAGTGAYCATTATTTGAAATTGGGAGTTGGGAATTCATGTTAGTCAATGGTTGGTTTTGTTAAGAGATCACATTAGGAGGTTATTGTCATTCTGATATTTTGTCTTTACTGATGTAAGTGAAATGTATTTGCCTGCAATGCAAGACAAACACTATGAAATAAAGCCATGATGGAAGCAGACAAGACTTCTGTTGAACATATCCCAATAAGGAATATATGAAATTAATTGATTCTAAAGTTAATGCTATATGAATGACGCTCAAGATCAAAAACTAATTTAATATTTAGACATTAATTAAGAATTATTTTTTCACTAAACAATTTCCCAAAAAGCATAACTAAAAGCAAAAGGGCCCCTTCATGTCCTGAGATTTTATAAATTTTAGGATAACTTTCCTTTATAGGAAACTGATATATATTAGGAAAAAATAAATTGTTTTCAAGGGTACTATGACCATAGACACTATTGCCAGACATAAATTCTGAATTAAAGAAATAGAAAAATGACTTCCAAATTAATCCAAAGAGATAATGTGTATTCGTTTATTTTGTCCAATAGGGTTATAATAGATAATAATGAACTCTTTGCTTGATTCACTTGTTACAATGCACATACTTMGGGGCTTGGTACATGCACYTATAAACTGTACAACATTCTTGTGCCTGACTTTTCTACAAGTCAACAATAAATGTTCATCAAAAGATTATTAACACGGAACTCAACATAAAGCAGAGTAGCTCAACCTCTCTACACATCACTAGAATAAGAAAGGGAGGAAAGACA